CTTCATCCATGGGTATAATCAATGGTATTTCGTACTAATCAGTAATATTCCACGGAACCCAGATTCCTATGATAGTAAAAAGACATAAAATCAAATGGTGGGGATCCTTAAAATACTCCACTACTGAATTTAAAAAAATCCGCCAATGGCTTTCTAAAGAATTTCTCAGCCCAATCTAAACCAGCTTTAACGTATGCAAACACATTAGCCATCCAGGATAATCCCTCCAATTTGGTATCCAGAAGGGCCCAATGTTCAAGCCCGTCTAGCTGTGCTAAAAACACTGAAGAATATAAATTGATCTGTCAACGAGATGTTTGGAACAACTCTCTACCAGTTCAAATCAGCCCAAAACCCATCAAATCTAATAAAGCCCATAGTGCCATCCTCTAGTAAATTTCAACAACTACCCGCCACAAAGGTAAAAGTAAAATGGTATTATCATCATCATCCTAATCTTCATCCTCATCCGAAGCCTAGTGATAGTAAATGATGATATTCCTTCTCCATTAAATCAAAGTAAAGCAAAGTCAAAAAGCAAAGTAAAGAAAGAAAGCAGAAGGAAAAAAGAATAAAATCAAAAGTAAAGCAAGTCAAAAAGCTAAAGTAAAGAAAGAAAAAATAAAGAGAGAAAAAAGAAAAGAGAAGATAAAAAGAAAAGAAAAGAAAAAGAAGGACACTTCATCGTCCTCATCTTATTCTGAGTCCTTGTAAATAGGCAGAAGGAACCTTATTCCTTTAACTTTTCAGTAAAACGCCAAGATATTATCTCCAACTACTATTCAGCTACAGTAAAGGCCAAGCTACTATTCCAATAGTAAAAGCAGGGTTACTATGCTCAACAGTAAAAGTCAAGATTCGGTGGCCGACATGTCACTGTTCATGAATAGTAAAAGCAAATAGTAAAGATTCCAAGAAATTATTATTTAAAGGGAGCCTTTCCTCTTGTGAAGGCATAAGCTTAGATTAGAGATAAAACATAGACATCTCCCCTTTCCTTTCAACGTCTCTTGTAAGGATTCAAGGTTAGAGATTCTTGGTAAGTATAAACTAGTTTGAGCTTATCATTTAAATTTTTGTAAAGCAAATTTAAATTTTGTATTTAAATAAAAGTAAATTTTATATCTTGCTACTATTCTAAAGCCCATGTTGACGACACCTTTCTTCTTCTCCCTCCACATTCTGACTTAATTCTGGGGATCCCAGGTTAAGGTTGCAGGAACCCTAAGCCTTGTGTTAAAATAAATTGAATTAAAATTGGTTGAGTTGATTGATAAATATTAAATTAAATTGATAAATTATAAGTATGCTCTGTGGATGCAGCTTAAGTATGCTCTGTGCGATGCAGCTTAGTCCCGATCTTCCACATCAGAACTATATTGTTTGAATTATTATAAATTATTCCTCATAGATTTACTTCAGAATCAACATACTGGTAAATAATTAGTTAGTTAAATTAATTATTGGTATAACTAAATTGGCTTTGTGAAATATTAAATGAGTTACATTTATATTTTTATAGATCCCATTGATCATAGCATTCTTATTGATATGTATATCGACCTTTAGTAAACGATCCTTGGTTTTGTTGTTACCTTTAGTAAACGATCCTTGGTTTTGTTGGTATCAGAGCCAATAGAGTTTAATATTGCTATTATTTATATAATAAGAATTCATTTTCTGGATATCATATATAGTTTTGGGTATGCTTACTGAACCCGTTTATAGCCGTGTGTTGAAAGGCTGAGTAAGGGTATAACCAGGCAGTGGCCGCGACTTGTTGATATCATAAAATGGATCCTTTATTCACGATTTGTGTGATGGGCGGTGGTGCTTCATAGGCCACGGTGGTGCTTTCACGGCCACGATTGTTTGATGGGGGTGCGCTAACATAGCCACGATCAAATCGCTTATGTTCATTCTGTATTAGTGCGAGCCTTAACTAAAGAATTAACATATGAAAGATTGATTATTTCTTTGAAAGAATTGCATATGAAGAATTAACATCTTTGTATTTTTAAATCGTTTATTACTTTCAAAGTATTTGAATAAAACGAAATGAGATCAACCTTACTTTGGAAATTAATGATTATGTTATCAATTTATGAGTTGAAAGAATTAAATTATTTATGTTATTAATTATAAGTTTATTTGATATTCTAAGTAAAGAACTAACGTATTTATGGTGATTAAATGTTAAAGTAAAGGATTTATGGTATAAAGAATTAAATTATTTATGTTATTACTTAATAGTTTATTTGATATTTTTTTATATAAATGTAAATGTATGTTGAAATTTAATGATTTTATTATTGTAAATGATTTTATGTAATTTGTGTTTTAATTAAGTTGTCATTGCAACTTTAGTAAGTATGTGAATTATGAGCACCGCTGAGTTTTATACTCAGCGTGTTGATTTTTATCACGCGCAAGTTAAAGACCGTGGTTGCTGCTTGAAGATCAAAAGAGTAGCATCAGAGTAGAAGAGACTATTGTGGTAGTAGTAGAATGAGATTTATGTAATCAAGAATTATGGCATGTATAATTATTACATTTTGAATTATAACTTAAGGATGTAATTAGCAATTATGTTGGAGTCTATATTCGGAGATAAGCATAAGATTCATTAAATGATTGAATATAAAATATTTCAAGAGAGTTGGTATGATTAGTTTATTAAGACTTGACATATATACTGAATGCAATTAATTGATGAATATTAAGCTGCTATTGAGGATTTATATAATTATGAAAATATAGAAGTGCTGTTGTGTTATGATAATTATTTGGAGATGCTGGGAGTTTGGAGTTTAATTGGGAGTGTTTTGTATTCGCATGTTTGGCGAGCTCAGTTTTTAACGGGAAATTCTTACAGTATTTCTGTATACAGTATTTATGTGAATTTTTCCCAATCTATTTTTCAAAAAAAAAAAAAAAAAAAGAGTGAAAACGAATCGAAATGAATTATCTATAAAAAAAACAAAAAAAAATTATCGCTACACTTTGTGAATACTCAATTCACTTCTAATTCATAAATCTTATTTCAATGATTTGTTTTGTATGTTAAGTTAAGACGGTGTCTCCAGCACCGAATGTGGCATCCGTCGTCGGGTCTCACGGGACTCGACGGAGGGTGTTACATCTTTCTTCACTCTTCATTTTGAACAGTCTTGACCGAATTATGACAGACTATTGCATTAGTTGCATTTCACGATAGCGTGTTAAGTGACATTCTTTTCATGCATACATGCATCATATCTAACCTTGTAGCCATTGTAGATCTACACATGAAAGTTAAAGCTCTCAAATTTAGAGTTCTAGTTGGTTAAGGCTAAGGTAAAAAAAAAGACAAAAAAGAGAAGAAAATAGAAATAAGAAAAAATAAAAAATATTAACAAAAAAAAAAAAAGAAAAAACCTCGAGGTGCTAAAAGGAGCAGAGCGAGAGGAAGTCATCACTAATGAGGAAGCAGAGTAAGAAAGAAAAGAAAGCACTGAGGATGTTGTTAAAGACCCTGCGAACGAAGTCATGAAAGCAATAAGGTCCTAGATAGAAGATAGTTTTGAGGAGATTGAATCTCCGTCATCTGTTTTTATTCCTAATTTTGAGGAAGATTGTGATGAACTGGCATTGCTTTTTAATGAAATAAACTTCAATTTTGCTTATTTGTTTGATGTCTTTCCTAACGGTTCCATTCATCAAGTAGATAAACTCATGCGCATATGTTTGAATTTAATATTAGCACATAAGATAATCTACATAATTTTTTAATTGGGTCAAACCTAACACTAGACTTAATCATAAAATTTCAAAACCTGCTCAAAGACAAAAGAGAAGCCTTTGTATGTAGCTACAAAGACATGCCGAGTGTAGACAAATCTATAACAAAGCATAATATTCTTTTATATCCTAGGGCTAAGCCAGTGAAACATAAGAGAAGAAGGTTGAGACCAGAATGACAGAGAAGATTAAAGAGGTAGTGACCAAGTAGATTAATGCGTGATTTTTTTAAGTGGTTCACTATCCAGATTGGCTCGCTAATATCGTTCTAGTCCCAAAGAAGGATGGAAGTGTCAGAATGTGTGTGGATTATAGGGACTTGAATAAGGCATTACCAAAGGATGATTTTCCACTCCCTCACATGATGGGATGCTTATTGATTATGGTTGGTTTTATAGGTTACAATCGGATTCTAATGGAATTGATGGATAAAACCGAGACTGCTTTTGTTGTAGAGTTTTGAACTTTCTGTTATCAAGTAATATCTTTTGGCTTGAAGAATACCGGAGCTACTTATTAGAGGATGACTACTATTTTGTTTCATGACATGATCCACAAGGAATTAGAAGTTTATGTTGATGACATGATTGTCATGATAAAGACACCAAAAGAACAACGAGTAGCTCTAGAGCAGTTCATGGATAGAGTTATCAAGTACAAGCTACAGTTGAATTCGAACAAGTGTGTGTTTGAGAACTTCAGGCAAAGTGCTAGGATTTATCGTTGGTCCAAAGGGCACAACAATTTATCTCGATAAGATCAAGGCAATTCAAGAAATGAAGTCGCCTAAGATAGAAATGCAAGTGAAAAGTTTTCTGGGAAAGATACAATATATCAACATGTTAATATCAAAGTTGTCTATCGTATGTGATCCAATCTTTAAGCTGTTGAAGAAAGATCAGCCGGTCAAATGGAACGATCACTACCATATAGCTTTTGATAAAATCAAGAATTATTTTTCAAGTCCCCCGATTTTATGCTCACCTAAACTTGGGAATCTTTTAATCTTATACTTGATAGTGGAAGATGTCGAAATTGGCACCATATTGGCATAGGTTGATAGAGCAACTAGTGAAAAGACAATTTATTTCTTGAGCAAGAAGCTCCTTCCAAACAAGTAGAAATATAACTTGATCGAGAGAACTTGTTTAGCTATGGTTTGGGCAACCAGAAAACTTAGTCATTACTTTCAGTCTTATAAGGTGATAACGGTCTCCAGAATGGACTCGGTGAAGTATTTATATGGAACGCCATCATTAGTGGGGAAATTAACAAGATGGTTAATCATGTTATTTGAATTTGATATTGAATATGTAACTAAGAAAACTATCGAAGGACAAGCACTCACTAATTTTCTAATGGCACATCTAGTTGAAGATGATGAACAGTGGGAGATTGATTTTCCTGATGAACACTTAAACTTAATAGAAAAGAAAGGATGGAAGCTTTATTTTGATGAGTCAGCCTACACTAAAGAAGCGGGACTAGGCGTCTTGTTAGAATCTCCACAGGGCGAAGTTATTTCGATGTTGAAAAGGTTGCGATTTGTAGTAACGAATAATATGGTATAATATGAAGTTTGCTTATTTGGACTAAAGGCTCTGATTGCTGTTAAAGCTGAAGAAGTTGAGGTTATCAGTGACTCCAAGTTGTTAATCGAGCATGCCAGTGGAAACTAGGAAGTTAAAAAAGACAGACTAAAGCCTTGCATTGACTATCTGTATGTTGTTATTCAGAACTTCACAAAAGTAATCTTCACAAATATTAGCAGAGTGAACACCAGAATTCCTAATGATTTAGCCAATCTGACATCAACTTGGGAGGAAATATCCACAATGCCAAAGAAGCCATTTATGATGTCCTCGGGCAGCATCCCGTGTTACGAAGGAGAACGGATCATGGATATGGAGAAAAATTATCAGCCATGGTTCCATGATATTTTGCAGTGGATGACTAAAGGGGTTTATCCAGAATTAGTTACTAGAGATGACAAACGAGCTTTATAGTGCTTGGCATTACAATATGCAGTCTTGGATGATCAACTTTACAAGAGAATGCCAGATGGTGTATTATTGAGATGTGTATCAATGAAGGAAGCTGAAAAATTAATGGAACAAATTCATGGGAGAGTTTGCAGCACTCACATGAGTGAAAAAGCATTAGCAAAGAAGATTCTTAGACAAGGATTTTTTTTATCGACAATAAAATGGGAATATATTTCATTTGTGAAAAAGTGCTTTGAATGTCAGATTCACGAAGACCTGAATCATATACCACCTTCAGAACTACACCCTTCTATTTCACGATGGCCATTATTGGCAATATAAGGATAAAAGCACTAGCCTCGAATCATTGAGATCGGGGACTAGGTTTTCGGCTTCTTTTCGTGTCAGTCAATGGTTTGGGAATTTAAGCAAGTAATCAAAAATCGGTTTGCGTGGATGATAGTGATATTGATGCATGAGCATAGTTATAATGCATGGAAATTATAGACAAAGCATTAAAAGCATAAATGAGTAAACAGTGTAATTCAGAGGGAGCGACTCTACCCTTGTTTATTGAGGATTCTACGTCATGCGCCATGTTCCCCTAGATCTTGACTGGTCAATTTGGTCGAGGGCCCACCACCTAGGTTGAAATCCTAGATATGCCTCGTACCTCATTTGAATGAGGATCAAGGCGCATGAAGTTCTACTATCGATTAGGATGGTACGGTTTTAAGGTGCCACTCTTAGAGTGGGCGTATGAGGCGTCGGACGGATCATGCTGATTCTCACGCCGTTTGAAGTGTATCAAAATTTCCTATGACCCAGTGTTGAAATCATGGTCAACATAAGCACACAACCAATAACGATACCTGTGAACCCCTCCCCAAACATCATGGGCATACGAATGCATGTGACTAAGGGCAGAAATGCACGTGAGTGTGTGAGAGTCGCCACCTTGTTTAATTATTTTAGGGTAAACTAGGAAAAACCCTGGGAGTAAACTAGGAACCCTCATTGACTCCAATTTTAATTAACCTAATTATTAGATTAATGTATCCCAATTGTTTAGGACTGGTTTGCAAACCCGAGGGTGGATCCGAGACCATGTCTGGTGATGAACTAACTAAGCTGGAATTTGTTTCTTGCAGGCGTTTTAGTAATTGGCCAATTTAAAAACATGACTTATGTGATTTTCGACTTGCATTCGGGGATTGAATCAACCGAGTGCCTTCGTACTTCGTTTGATGGGAAGATCAAAGTTCACGTAGTTCGATTGGACTTTCTTTGAGGGCTTTGATTGGGGTGCTTTTATTGATGGAGTGTGCTGTAATGGCTTTTTGTGCATTGTTTAGTTTTTTTGCCAAAGACTTGATTGATTTTTTAGGCATTTGGTGAAAAAAAATACTGTTGATTTTCTGGCTTTGTTAGCCAAAAAAGATTGATTTTAGGCAATTGTTGCCAAAATTGATGGTGATTTAGGAATTTTATTGCAAAATTGGTTAGGCGATTTGTCGCAAGTGATAAGGTAGTTTGTGCCAGTTGGTTTGGAAGCGTTTTAGGCCAAAAAGTTTAGGCATTTGTTTGCCAAAAGTGATTTTTCTGGGCGTTTGTCGCCAAATGATGATTTAAGGCTATTTTAGCAATGAATTGATTTAGGCATTTTTGCAACAAGTGTGGTGGGGTGGAGGTGATTTAGGGCGATTGTCGCAAAATGATTGTTTGGAAGGCTTTTTAGCCACATTATTTGATTAATTGGACTTAAGCCGGACTATTCGAAATAAAGGCAATATATACCGTAGTTATTATTAATAGGCTTTTTTAGTAATATTGTCGGATTTAGTGGGCTTTATACCACGATTATTTATTTAACCGGGCATTTAGCTAAAAATTATTTATTTGAGGCAGTTTTATGTTGCTATAAACGCTGTCATGAATGCATTTATGCAGTTATAGATTATTAGGATTGTTGAGAGAAGATGTATGAATGCTAAAATAAATAGGGTAGAGTTTAGTTTAAATTAGTCCTGATTTATCGCGGCCACTCTTAATCAGGTTAAGTCCTCGTTAGGGCCATATTAATTTAATTTAATTTTAATGACCCAAATAACAACGCAAGAAAATAATAAGCTAAATAAAAAATGCAGAAAAGCCAGTAAAGAATCGCAAGGATCGTATCGTCACAAGACTGAGTGAGGAAAATTAGAAGGCACCGGGCACTTTTATAGGCGAAAAATGGGCTGTTTCGGCGGCTGGCCGCCTGTCTCGACGGTTGGGCGCCGGTGCTCGGCTTTGTCGGCCTGCCGTTGAATCGCGGCTGGGCCGTGGGAGCTCGGCCGGCTGGCGCCGGTTGGCGGCAGGCTGCGGCGTTGAGAGGTTCGCGGCTCGGGCCAGGCGAGGCTCGGCGGTCGGGCCGCTGTAGCGGCGGTGGGCCGCCGGACTGTCGGCGGCTGGGGCCACGGAAGCCAAAGCGGGCTGGCCGCGCGTGCCTTTTGTGGTTTTTGCTATTTCGGCTCCGGGAGGCTTTTCCGGGGCTCAGGACTCCGAAAAAAAAATTCCAGACCAGATTCCGCGATCCTCGCGACCACGTCCGGCGTTTTCAGTACCCTTCGGCGGCATACTTTCTGGTGAACTTTCAAAATTGTGCCTTATGGCTCGTCGGACTGTTTGCAGTCGGGAAAATTGGCTCTTAATGCGCGCGTTCAAAATTTGGGTATTCACACGTGACTTGCAGCCGCTATCGCGGCGGCTGCGCCGCGGCGAGATAGCGGCTACCGCGCCTTTAAGCGGCCGCCACCGCACGGCCGGGAAACTGCTTTTGAGCCTGCAAAATTTGAGTATTACAATACCAAAAATTACTCTAAGCACTAACTTATTCCAGAATGAACAATGGTTACAACTTGCAATAAGTGAGTTATTAAGATAAGATCTTTGAGTAGTAAGCAAGACCCATGACCGAGTATAGTCGGGACGACTCAATGAAAGCCCTACGTCAATTAGACAAATTCAAATAAACAGGCCACAAGCTTATAGTCTCCTAACAGGGGACATGAGCATCTATGAGACGTAGTTTACATGTTGTATACCATCACTATAGGTAGTCACATTCTATAGCTTTGAGCCTGATTAATAATCTGGAAATGAGCAAAGGTTCCAATCTCAAGGGGATCTCTAAAGAATGTCGATCTACAATGATGACGCAAAATTACTATGATACATACAAGAGATCGAGAGGCTATTGTGGTGGCAATCCTCCACTATCTTAAGCTTTTTCAAATCGCCTAAGTTGGATGTGACCCAGTTGAGGTCAAAAGGAAAAGAAATTAAATATAATAAAAAGTCACTAAGTTGAAACCTGAAAGTTGCAGGCTTAGAGAAAAATAGAGCATAAATAAAAAGGCAAGTATCACTATGTTGAACTTAGAAAGGCAGCTTAGGTAAAGTTAGAGCAATTAAAAGGAATAATAAAGACAAGTCGCCAATTTGAAAAACTCGAAAAAGGCGGCTATAGGAACATTAGCAGCATATGATTGCTGGAGGTATTATTATCGAAGAATAAGTGGGTCACCACTCAAACAAGATCGCATCAAGAGCCGAGATGAATCTCATAAGCTAGGTCAAGGGTCTCGTTGAGAATAACTAAAAATAGAAGTACAATCGTTCGGCATTAGTTCTTTTCTACAATCATAGAAGCCTAATATTGCGCACCATCAACGCTACTCAGTACAAAGTCTAGCTCATAATGCAGAAATAAAACAAGTAGTGACCAGAACGGATGAATGATTCCAAGCATATATGCTGCTCCTAATGAATGTACTATGAGCAAAAACGTTTCTTACTCCTAGCTCATTATGATGCGATATCAGTCAAATGGAATCCGGAGGAAGAATTGATCGTGAAGCAGGTAATAATGTCCACCGAGGCACGTGCAAGGATTCTATTGTAATCGGCCTCTTACCAAAGTTGACACTAAAACTGCCGATTCAAATTTGCAGACTTGTCATTAATTTTTTTAAAGTTCCTATGAACAAAGACCAAAGATGACATACTAACCAGTCTAATTTATCATTAAGTGTCTCAGAATCATCCTCCAGACTTACGCTTCCCCTGCTAGCTCACTCGAGCTGCTTATATAGTCTCATGCTTGTGCGCAAAGCACCAGCTGTCGCTTGCGCTGGAACGGCGTCACTCACTGTAGCGACTTAAACCTCTAATGGAACCTTGGCTCGCAGCTGCATTATAGTTTTGTATTAGTATTTTTCATTATATGCATACATACTACGGAAAGCATATTTTTCCTTGTGTTGTTTTTGTTTTAAACTTACAGAGAATAGGGGAATCTAATTAGTTCGCGCTCCATAATAAAAGTTGTTTTTCTTTTATTTAAATCGTTCACCAATAAGAACACACCTTATTTTTTGAAATCATATACTTTAATAAAGATCTTAATTGATAGAGCGTTTTTGCGGAGTCGCACCCTGTTAGGGAAATTTACATAAACCGATTCATTCATTTGGAGGAAATTTACTCGTTATTAACGATTCTAGGTAAGGAAGTGGGTACAACCTACAGGAAGGTGTTAGGCACCTGATAGTCTGGTCATAGAATCGACCTCCATCATTTGTTCGAATTATGACAAATAAAGTTATTAAAATTGCTCCAATTAAGATTGCTAAAATGTTTCAATGCATTTTAAGATTATGCACTTCATAAGCAATTAATCAAATTAATTCAAAATTCAAACATAAACAAAAACCATACGTAGAAGCGAGAGAGGAGAGAGTTACCAAAACCTATAGACCTAGTTACATTCTAACCATAACCCCAATATTTTCATCCCTAATCTATATATTAAGCAATCTATTTTAAAGTTCATTTTTGAAGTCTTTACATAGCCCAATATAGTATTGAAACAACACATTTGATATGAGCCATATAAATCAAGCCCCATATATTAATCAAACAATCATTTAATAGAACAATCATATATTGAACTCATAGAAGCATAAGAATAGAATTTAAAGAAGTAAAAGCACAAAAATAAACGAATTAGGCATGACATTAAATAATCATAAGAATTAAAGGCTAGATGTTAATAAAGCATAAATGAAATTAAAAGGAAAGGATGCATAAAATCAATTGCAGGAATGTAAATTGCTTTGTTTGAAATTACATTGTGATAAGAAAGGTAAATTGATTTTGAATTAAAAGAGATATGAAATGGGTTTCAAGAATTTTGATGTTCGATCGATGATGAATAATATGACTATCCATTCCAAATCCTGTTTATTAAGGATATTAAGTTCATTTATGGATCTGAACACCATTTAGGCTTATAGGCTTGGTTTAGACCAACAAAGACCCACAAATTGAATTTAGCTTTAATTAGAATCAGCTTCTGGTAGAAACCAGACATGGTCAACGCGTATAGGCGCTATGGCCATTACTCTTGCACGTGCTGGGTTTCAATGACAGAACTTAGCAGGAAGTTTTTAAGTGGTGTTTGGGTGTGGAGAAGTGTTGTGTGCCACTTTTTGTAAGGCGCAAGCCACTTTGTGCGACCAAATCTCTTTTTTGTTATGGGGTTCCCTCACAATAAGCCACTAAAAGGTGTTTTTACACACCAAAGAACAAAAAGACTGTGGTGTGTGAAGGAAAGGAGGGTGAGAGGTTAAACTGCTCAGATTGTTACCTGTGCTTTAGAAATCCAAAGATTTGAGATGAAATGGTCAAGAGGCACCTAATATTTTGATGCTTCTGTTGTATGTTATTCTGAGTTATCATGATCAATGAGTGTTTGTTGGAACACTATCACGAAATCTTGACGGGTGAATTTTGAGCCAACTGGATTGTTTTGCAGATTTGAGAGTAAATTGTTTTACTAAAATCTTTAACAAGATAATTGGCATAGTTTCTTTTTGCCTCAAATTTTCAACCGTATTCTTTTTGAATTAGAGTTCACTTTTTATAGGCATAATGGAGGATAAGTTTAAGCTTAATTTGGGCTTATGTTGGATGGGCAACTGGTAGGCCCGAAAACTTAGTTGGGCTATTTAGAAAATCTATCTCGGTGGACATGCAAAATGAGTGGTAGATGTACGCAGGACGGCATGCGAGCGCACCCGTTGATGCTTCCAATCCTATTTTCGATGTGAACCCCTTGGAAGCCTTGAAATGAAAAACTGCTGATGAGTTAGTTATACTTAAATCGATTATAGTCGAGATCAGGTCATCAATGTCTAGATTCATTTTTATGTCAAAAGGTATTCATCATTTAGAGTTTGTTATCGGCGGCCCAATTAAGCGTCTACACTTCTCCTGGTTTCTAGCTTGTTTTTTTATGTTAGAATGGGGTGAAGATTGGCATTCAATCTCTGTCTTGTTACAGAGTTTCCAGTAGCTTTTTCTATAGGTAGCTTTTGATTCTTTTACCACAGTTATCTTATTATACAAGCTGCATTGAGAATTATGTTGAAGATTTTTTTTGAAATGTTTAATTTAGTTTTGAATTTGCGGTGTTATTTTGTGGGTGCTTTGTTGATTTTGTTATGATTTCATATTGAATTGTTAAGTTTCTTCCCACTAATTTTAGAGTTATTGTGACTAGATTTTGCATTGATTATAGAGATGGTTTCGGCCATCGTCGTAGGTGTATAGAATCTGCGTAAGATTATATCGCTAGCAGCATAATACAAGTTATTTTGTTTCTTTGTTGGTTTCTGAATGAGAATATGAGTTTCCTCTCCATATTTGCCAATACTTGTTGAGATACCTCCTGTCCCAATACCTCCTACCCCAACTGCGACTGATGAAGACCTATGCTCATCTATATGTGTATTGAGAACCGTAGCTCTGCTCAAAGGGAAGTGATTAGGAATCATTTTTAGTATAAGATTAACTTTTGATTGTCAAAGTGCTTATAATGGGTAACCGACGTAATTTTGTTCTTTGATTTTCTTCTCTGTATTAGACTGCAATTTAACTAAATTGACCACATTGGATTGACTTTTTTTATAGAAGCTTGAATAGTTTGGTGGGAGCTTAAACTCAAGCTGATATCATAGAGTTCACCAGAATAGAGAGGTTTAGTAGTTGAATTAGTCAAATTTAGGGACTAATAGGAATTCCATTAAAATAAAAACCCATCTTCTTGGAAGCGGCGTGGCTTGAAGTCATACAAATTCGCACGGCTCGTCCAACACAATAGTTCAACACGTTAACCAAACTTTGATTCTTCAACTTTTCAGCATGGCTGCTCCTTTAATACGCTTTTTCATGTCACACTGTTATCATCAACGGTCGCGCATTTACTTCCAATCGGCTCTTTCTCTTCACAAGCCATTCTCCATTCGCTTCCCAACTGAAAGCATTTCATTGGTGTTTTCCAATTGGCGTCAAAATCTTTCGGTTCTTTCCAATGCAATTTTGCAAAACTTCGCCCATTACTGTTCTTGACCTATTCAAGATTTTTGCCGGATGGATGCCCATGAGACTACTATGGTAGAAGGATTTCAGCCAAATCACTGAGCTTTAGTGGCATGCTAGCTTCTATCACTCCCTCTCAATCTGTATTGTCTTTTCATCTTGAGGCTATTTTTGTTTGATAAAGTTTGATTTTATCGCTTAACATTGAACGGAATTTAAAACTATAAACTATTTAAAAAGGGAAATTTTGTAAGGGGGCTCTCAAATTCTTTGTTATTCAATTTGGTCCTTTATGATTATCTATTTTTATCTGTTTAGGTGGTTGGGATTTTGCATTTACTTGTTTCTCTTGGGATTTTGTTGCATGGCATAAGTTACTGAAAAAGGCTTTTGTGGCTGGTGTATTAGTTCCCCAGGCCCTGTTTTGGATTGTTCTGCATATTCTCAGTTTTATTGATTTCTGTATCTACCATTCCGGCTGCGCACAAGCTTGGTTAACTTTTCGAGCCAGCGCTATTGGTAATACGGAGATGGTTCTTGTTCTATGTTCCTTCATTGGTTTTGCGTTTCTGTAAGAGATATCCTGCGGCTTAGGACTCAAGATTTTGTTACTTGTAGGTAAATACAGTTTCTTGATGTACTTTTTTCAATCTTGATTGTTTGTGTGTATTGACGGAGTTTTTATCTATGTCTTTAAGTATGTTGTTTTCCACATCACAAAATTATTGCAAGTTACAAAATGAGATGATGCTTCTTCTTTCCCTTTTATTACTCAGTTACTATGATACAGCAGCTTGTTGGATCCGTTTAGATTGCTATTTGTCATAGTAGCTGATTTACGCTGAAAAGTCAAAATCATGTTTGTTTGAGGTGGAACATAGCTTTTGGCATATTGAATTTATAAGCCTCAGTGATTTCTGGAAAAAGTTCATATTTGAATCAATTCTGACTGCAAACTCTTACTGCAAGAGTCTATCGTTTTCAATGCCACCAGAAATTTCTTTCATAACAATATTGGCTTAAAATTGGTTATTTATAATCCAAACTAGCTCTTAAAGAGACCATGGTTCTAGGTTGAATTGATCGACGGTCTTATAATATAGAACATGTGCTTAATTACATGATATGAAGTGCTTAATGAAGCAATAGATCAGGCCTAATTGAAATTTGGGGCCTAAACTATTCCATTGCTGTTTTCTCCTCTTACTAGAAAAAACTGTGGTAGTTTCCTAGTTGAAATAATGTTTGATTAATGAGAAGTCACTGTAATCTGGGAAATTATTATAGCACAGTATTGTTTTTCAATTCCATATTCCTGGTCTACCAATAGAACAATTAGTATGATACCAGGAAGCACAAGGATTTTACTTAGATTCCTGTATCAGTTGTATACAGAAGCTTATGTTATCCTGAGAGTTTTGATTGCTTCAGGCCGGTATTTTAGATTAGAAGTTAGTTAGGTATATTGTTCCAAGGCCATTCCCTTCCGCCATATCATTCAGTATTATTATTGTTCCACTCGGGGAAATCACCCAAGTTAATTTGAAGCTTTGATTGGAATTGTCATTTGGACATAAAGTTTTTTTGGATGGATAGTTTGACTGATTTTCGTACTGTTAAATTCAAATGCAAACTTGTACTTTCATTGGTTTGGGTTTTTTAAAAGCTCACTTTTCATTGTGGTTTACACAGTGGAGGGGTGAGAAAGAGAATGAGGAGTTTTCCTTGCATAATATTTTTAATTTAATTATTGCAGCTGGAGGTTGGTTGGTTCACTTTTGTGTTTTGACTGGGATTCACGGGCATTACTGTGAGGAAAATAGTGAAAGACAGAGAATGGACGATGCAGACCGATTTTTTACCCTTCCTTTTCATTAGAAGTCTGGGCCTGGAGTGGGAATTTTCTTGTAGTCATTTTGTTGCTGATATGGTTTTCCCCAACTGCCTGGGACATTTATGCTCGAACTTGCTTCCTTTTCTAATAGCTGCCACTGTGTTGGGTACCATGTTGGTTAGGGGTAAATTGTCAAAATATTCTAAGTTTAGATATTTGTTATTTTTTTTTAGGGAAATTGGCATTAACATCTTTAGGATGTACGAGAGGGGAGAGAAGGAATTGAACTCAGTTCTTTCTTTATTTAGCACATTATTGAGTTTATGGTTTAAGGGGAATTGATCATCCATGTTGCACGAAGTATTTTTTTTTAGCAAAATTTTACAACAGAGAATTTTCCTTAATTTCATTTCATAACTATGAACTGCTATGTTCTAAGATTCATTTTCTCTTTTGTTTTCAGGTTGCTTCTAGTGAAAAAGGTTTCCATTCGATTATTTTTTGTCGCTTTTTGCAGGATTTGAGCATTGGCTTTTGGATATCTTATCATTTCTGGATTTTATCTGTTCTATTCGGTACTTCTAAATTCTTCCACCCCAAAGTTTCTTGTTTGTTGTCATGTTTTCAAATAAAGCATTAATGCAAGTTCGGTCAGTTTTTGGTCCTGTTACATTCAGATTGAATTTTCTTCATGTGATATTTCTTATATTTTTAAATTTTGTTTCACTTTGGCTGCAACAAATTTTTTTCGCACATTACTTGGCCATACATGTTTTTTATTTCTTATGTCATTTAATTTACTTTTTGATTTTTGTTTTTCTTATGTTCTTTTGTCAATTTTTATTTCTTACGAAGTGTTGCTGATCTGGAGTGTGATGTTCTTGATGGGATTTTGGGGTCTGTTATTCTTTTCTTTTGCCTTCTTTTTGAGAAGGTAACTACTCCTGTTTTTTTGAAATATTTCTTATGTCTCAATATGAAAAATATTTTTTTTGTTAAATTCTTTTGCAGACTGTTAAGAGAATGCAGCTGTTGAGATTTTCACCTCTGTCATTTTTTCAACATTCTCATTGTTTGGACTGCTCTTATTGGAGTATTGGTGTCGGGTTTAGAAGGCGCCTTGGATTAGTATCTTATTCTGGCGCCGATGGGGATTTACGTGGCATTAGCTCTCCAGTAGGTCATTGTTTGAAGGATGAGGGATATATCTTTTTATTGGTGAAACAATTGATTTCTAAAGGGTTGAGTTAGAAATGCCTGTTCTTGAAAATTCTTTTCAATTCTTTTCACACTTTACTTTTCTAAACCGACTATTTAGCATGAGTTCCAATTTGATTTTTTTTTGAACTTTTTTTGAGGGAATTTAATTTATTTAAGACTTCAATTTGCATAATATTAGAACTTATCAGTGTGATATTTATTCTGTAACCTTGTCTCTTCATGGAATATTTTAATGTTGTATTGCATGCCATTCATTCTCACAGTTTGTAGTAATGGTTTATTTGGAGCAAACTTTTGTGCAAGTTCGCATTGACAAATTAAGTTTCTGATCATTGCTCGGGTTTACTGTTCCAGGTAAGTTTTTTAATTCATAAATGCTTCTTGTTGATAATTTGAAACAAGTTTTTTTTTATATAAAATTTAAATAGATTGATGTAGACTAATCTTTTTGGGACAAGATGATCTTGTTTCTTTTCCAGGCTCATGGATTTGGACAGCTGGCATTCTCAGTTAGGAACAGAGGCTCTTCATTTTGTGCCATAGTTATTTTGTTATTTTGGCTCATTAATTTGCTCTGTTCGCTGTTGGTTATGCTTGCAAATTATTGGTAATGTATGCATAACTTTCGGTTTCCCTAGGCCATCATTTTTTTATTTTATTTATTTCAAGACACTATTCTTAGGTATTACAAATAGCCACCGTTATAAAGTGGAAATTCAAACCATGGTTTCGATTTTATTATAATGAGCGCTTTATGGTGTTGCGGTTTTTACATGAAATATCATATGGATGGACCTTACTAGATTCAGGGGCATGCATGCTTTCGAGGATCTGTTGGGGCTAACCAGAACAGAGTTAATATCGGGACCTGATAACCATATAGATTTCAGATAGTTAAGCGTCATATTACTCTAGATATCATTTCATATTCATTATTATATCCTAGGCCAATTCCGTATTAAAATATTCTAATTTTAGCCCATTTATCTTACAAAATCTATAATTGCACTAATGGTTATATGTGACATAAAAATATCCAACATATTCATTCAGTTGATATAGTCTTATACATATTAGTTATCCTTAATCTACAACTGCGGAATCATAACAAGAAATATTATAATTAATGTTGATTTAAAAATTACTTTTAACTCTTCGTGAAGAGGCATGGACATGGGGAATTTATTTCTGGGAAAAAATTTAAAAAAGAGAAGTGCGTTTTATATTTAGGAATATGCATACACGAGGCTTCACACGAAATACTTCACTAAATATAAAATGAACATTCATTAAAACAAAAAATGTTAAACACTGACACGACATCACACGCACTTACAATACACCTTCAGTTAATCACCAAGTGGGATTCATGTTGTGTGGCTGTCGTCAAAACAACCTGACGAACTGTCCTACATATGGCCCTTACTCTTCATTACGATGCCGGGGAAAGCTATCCCATATGATGGTCGCGAGCGACTTAATCCCCACTTACAACTTTCTCTTGTTTTTTATTCTTTTTTTTTTCCCATTTACCAAACAGGGAGGCTACCCTATGATTTTTGTCATTCACTTCATATCATCAGATGCAATCAGGGTTGTCGGTCTCACCCGATATGGCGATAGTGATTACAGACCCGCTCTAACAATCCCCAGGATAACTCACTTCCATCTCAATTCAATAGATTAAGGCATATCTATCACACACGTCTATCAAATTGCATTTAAATGCAAGACACTTAATAAACCAATTGTTTATGCAATGTATTACACTTATATTAAATAAGTTAAAAGTAATGAATGTTTGTGATATAAATTAATTAAATTAATTAATAAGTAGTAATCACCTTATGTATTATGCGTTTAGCATGATTAAGTTCATTATATTATTATCTACAATATGATTATGAAAGAGAACTCTAGCTTTGGTTCTGAATTGTTGGATAATGCGCGAAAGTCGGCGCGGTCCTATAGAAATTGTACATTGAAAGAAAAGATAGATTAAAATAGAAGAGCTCTTCTTAAAAACAGCTTTGTAACTCTAATAAGTTTAATTGACCTATTTATTTAATACTACCCTAGATTCTGTCAATTGGGCAGGAACTTCTCCTAAAAATCGGACATATTCTTCTTCTTATTCTATAGTAAGTGATTAATAATTATATATTCAATCAAATAAAATACAGATTTATCAATGGGTGTTCAATCCATTATTACGTCTTTCTTATTAATAGCAAAATCACGATTCAATCATTTCTATCATTTATATTATAACGTTATTTCATATCTAATTTCTTAAGTTATACATAATTGCCTTTAGGCAGCCTTTAAACAATAATCCTCGTTCTTTACGGACATTATAAGTATGCTTTCATTCTCTATCTAATTAAATAATTAATTTATTAAAAATGGATTGGATTGCTTGCAAATAATATAACATTCATCTTTTCAATTAGTTTTCATTGTTAACTCATCAATTATTGATCTTCATTAGCTTTTTATATTTTCTTTTTCATGTTCATCACAGAAGGAATGGATTCTATGGTTAAATCTTATTCCAAATAGAGTAAATAACACCAATAGTAGTTCTGTAATGCATGATAAAATTAGCTAATCACATGATTTTCAACTTGCTTCATCCATAAGTTATGGAAATCTTGTGGTGCATCAGAATCAAGTTTTTCTTGACTAAAACTCACATTCATAGCAATTTAAAATTTAAATTCATTACTATATAAGCAACAATTTATAAATATTAGAATATTATTATTTCATATCAGAATTCTCTAAGTTCGCTTAATTTAAACTCATTATTTTGATATGCTAGTTACCCATTCCATCAAAATTGATTAACACTTCCTTTACTTCAATATCACAACAATAGTTTACCAGTAAATAACTAAATGGCTTCTTCATTTGAATTTCTAATTCCTTCCCTAAAATTGCACTTAGATATACTTTTTCATTTGGTATATGGAATTTCTCTTGGAGTCAATTAGTTAGTTAAGCTAGATTCCTCAAGGTTTTAGCTATACTAATCGTCATAATTATCAAGACTCAGCAAATGGTTAACCGATGGCTTGTTTAAATTATCTCTTATATAAACAGATCTATTGTTCATAGAAATTTGTTTGATGAATAGACATAAGCAGAGCGTACCTTGCATTCATCAGCAGATCTATGTTTTTCTCTGGCTTGTCCAATAATTAGTTTTTAATCATACATATCAGATGGTCATGAGAAATAAATTATAGACTCGGGAGTTTTCTCTTTTTTGAGCTCTATCTCAACAAGTATTCCGAATATAGGATATAGTGTTGTGTGTGGTATATTTGCTATTCTTATGATCGATTCTTTTATTTTTTAATATATATAAGGGTTATTAAACACCCTAATGGTTTATTTGTTAAGATCATACATCATTGTGGTACGCTTAATTTAATTGACCAGGCTTTTAAATCACATGGGCACCTATAGTTATTAAAAAAATAATCTAACAATCTCCCCTTGGGCCCATGTGCATTTCTTGAACTTATCACTGTTTACTAATTAATTATAATTGAATGTGTGTGCTACTTTGTGTACAAGTCAATATCGAACATGATTCCTTACGTATATATGTGGACCATTCAATTCTATAAGCTCTTTAATGGAGAAACTTATTCCAACAATACTTGTTACAATCAACTGTAATTGTTATCGCCTCAAACTTATTGTATCTCGTATACTGTATACACATAAATAGCAAACAATTTTAAGTTGATTTCAGTGTCACATATATGAGCAACACCGTATTTATATAATTTTAATATTTATATATATATATATATATAATATATTATATATATATATATTAAATTTATACTATATAATATTAATATAATTATATAGTAAGTTAACTCATACAAGCACGGATTATCGATATGTGCAATCATTTCAACATGGCTAGTGAAGATTCTTGGGCCGGTAAGCCTTTAGTTAGCGATTTTTCCATCATAGACATCATCAGATCAACCTTTCACGTAACGCGCATATGCTCAATGACTTTGTGTTTGTATGCACTTCTCTTTCTTTACAAGATAAGGTACTTTTAAATCCATGTGCTTTTCACCTGTAGGAGTTTACTTCATTCTTAGAGAAGAAGCATCTGCAATTATCACAGTTATGTCTCAACGGATATAGCTATACTGTCGACAATGCTAGACCTGAGACAGAAGTTTGCAACCAAATGCCTGAATAGTGGCTCAAATCATTGCCCACAAATATCAGCCTCCATAGTGCGAAAGTAGCCATGACAAGACCTGCCTTTTCAGTTTTCCATGATACTGTTCCTCCCTGCTAGAAGGACAGTAGCCAAATTGTAGATACTGATACCCTTACACTAAAATGGCATTACGTCTGGAATGCCGGTGTATCCCACACTTCTAGAGGCTCGGATTTTATAAGGTGAGTATTATTGACTTTCATTAGAAGTTGGCCGTGATAAATACTAAGTACTTTCTTTGCAGCTTTTCAATGGTCCATCCCAGGAGTTACTTTCAGATATGCGCCTAACTTCCTCGGGCGAATATATCGGCTCGAGTACATGTACTGAACTTACTTAAGCTCGCAACCACTGCACGCTAATGTCATGACTCATCTCTTTACATTCCTATTCATTTTTGGAATTGCATTTCCGTGAACTATCTTCTTCTAGACTTGGAAATTTCTTGTGGAGATCTTTTCTTTGTGAATCTCTCTAAGTACACTTTCCATGTAAGCTCTTTTGGCTTTATATAACGTCTTTGTGATCTATTATGAATTTTCTTTCCAATCACAAAGATGCCTCTCCCGTATCTATTTATTTCAATAGTCCTTAGAGAGAAAACCCTTTACATCAATGCAACAACCCAATCACTTTCGCACAAGAAT